TGAGTTCCCGCGAAATCCAAACTGCTGTACGGCTGCTTCTGCCAGGTGAACTTGCTAAGCACGCACTCAGCGAAGGCACGAAGGCTGTAACCAAATACACAAGCAGCAAGTGAACGAGGAGTACGATATTTTCTTCAAAACAACGAGCCTACGTCTGTGTAAAGCTGTGATTAACCAGTTAACAGATGCTGTTGTTGTTTATGTTGTTGTTAACTCACCCGAGATTTAAATTATCCGACATTTTGAAGCGGTAGAGATGCTTAACTAATTGCTATCGACAGACAAGTTTTGCAACCGTTCTGAAATGACTTAACGAGTGGATATGGCACTTTCCATTGTAGTCTTGTAACTTGTTGAAATAACCAGCCGTTCAGTGACAGAAGTGTCGACTTATGATCAATTGATAAACTTTTGTATTTCGTATTATCTTTGCTTTCGCTGAAATTAAAAGAAAAAAGGCGTTTCACTTGGAAAATTCCCGGAATACGTGTCCCCAACTATTAAAATGCATGCCTTACAGCACTCGCTGAGTTGCAAAGTTTGGAACAATATTACAAAAGATGCTCAAACTGCTTGTGCTACGCGCTGCACATTAATTTTTGTTTACAATTGCTAAATATTGATTACAAGGCAATGAAACGCGAGCGAGGATTCCTTGCCTTCCTTCCTAAACGATGTATCGCAGACGTCAACGCGAGAACCTCCTTTCCTTTTTTCAGTTTTCCGGACTCACATTTTGTCGGATCTTCGTCCACTGCCAGAGAACGGGGCAATATCGATTTCGAACGTAATGGGCTTGTGGAGCTTTCGTAAGTGAACCCGCGTTTCCCCACGCAAGAAAAGCACCTGGGAACTGAGACTCTTCCTGGAGAATTATTCGTGGTATTTTAGAAAAACCAGAATTGTTGAATATTATAAAACAACAGAGGAATTGGGGATATTTTGAATAAGAATGACGCCGAAACCTTGTGATCTTCGTTAAAACGAAATGCTAATTTAAGGGTTTCGTTTCACTAGCCGATAATCGCACCATAACCTTGCAGCTCTGTTCCCCAGGCCTCCTAGAATCCCAGTCACCCTAATGAAAGGAAAGTGGTTCTTTAAACTTTTATTTTTCATTTTCCTCTTTAATGAGAAGAATATTCAAGAATATTTGACAGACTATCAGGAAAATCAAAATAACTCGGGGAAGAAATCTGACCGTCCGTGAGCTGAACTCAACTTTAAAGTTCAAGCATTGTTTTTAAGTCTCTCGTTGAATATTATCTCTGGACAAAGAAAAGGTGTGAAGAAAGTCATTCCTTTGGTCTTCACACGCCTTGCAGCGTCAGGATTGGCAAGTTGGAGATTGTACCTCTGTAAAACAGAAGCAACAACTATTCGGGTGATTGCCAGGGCATACCGATAACCCAAGCATTTCCTTGGACCCATACCAAAGCGGAAGAGAGAGCCTGGCACTGGTCTTGCGCCGTTCGCGAAGCGACTGGGGTCGAATTTGTCAGGGTTTCTCCAATACTTCTCGGAAAAGTTCAGTGACTGGGTATCCACGCAAACGGGAGTCTGTTTAATGAGATAAAAGGGCTACGTCAGTTTTTGTTAGTTTAAATGCGCAGGCAACACATTGTATTCGCGTGACGTAATGTAAACACGCGAGGAGTAATTTTTATCCGCGTGTTCCTCGTTCGCGCGCATTGCTTCAAATCGCTTGCACCCAGCTCTCTAGGAACCTGGCAAAGGACTCAGATTTCAAAATTATATTAGGCAGAAAATGCGAGATCTTGCAATAAAAATGAATTTCAGCTTTTTTAACTGTAAGGAAATTGAAATATTCACGTTTCATTAACACTGATTTAGGGCCAATCATCAGTTCAGTAACATATGGTGAATCTTTTCACAAATCTCGTGCCCAGATCCTACCGCGTAACTTAAATATAAGGACCTCACAACCGCTTAGCCGTGGAGGGTCTGGGTACAAGACTATCCCTCCGACTCTCTACTGAGGATCGCCTGTTCGCCTTTCAGGGAGCCTAGGGAGAGGAAAATAGCTGGCACATGAAAGAATTCCTCACCCCTTTTGGAATTTGATAACCTCCAATATCAGTGACAGGTTTCACTGTTCTCTCAGGGAGACTAAGCGCCAATGCTGGGTTCATCCGGGCACTTTCTTTCAGAACCATCTCCATATAAGGTAGCTTGTTATCCAGGTCTTCAGATGAACTCGGGTCAGCCCCTAATAATATATCGTCTACTTCCTGTTGAACTATTTCTTGAACGGAAGTGTAACGAGCAAGATCGGCCAAGGCAAACGAAGTGGCAGCGAAGCTGACGTCAATATTCAAGAGCAGGATTTCATTCACAGAATGAAATAGCTGTGCCAGATATAACAAAGACAGAAGTGAGTACGGAAAGGGTTTTTTTTCTCTTCTTAAAATTTATTTTTGGCCTTTGTTGTTGAGATAGGACGGAAGTTAAATGGATGAATAAATCAGTGGTTGGATGGGTACATGGATCGAATGAAATAATTAAATAAATGAACGAACGAGCGAAAAAACGAGGGATAGATCGAACGAGCGATCAAACGGGGGATAGATGGAACGAGCGATCAAACGAGGGATAGATCGAACGAGCGATCAAACGGGGGATAGATCGAACGAGCGATCAAACGGGGGATAGATCGAACGAGCGATCAAACGGGGGATAGATCGAACGAGCGATCAAACTAACGAGCAAACGAGCGAATGAATGAATGAATGACAGAAGGAAAGAAGGAAGGAAAGAAGGAAATGAAGGAATATAAATGAACGGACTAACGGAATGATGGACGAAAGGATCAGTAAAGGATTGAAGAATTGATAATAAATGAATCAATAAAATAAAGGAAGACCTTTCGTCTACCTCTTGCTCTCCCAAGTCGAGTGCGTGAGTCTTCAGTTGTTCCATCATGATAAAGAATAATCCATCATTAGACCTGAGTCGTCCCTCCTCGTATTCTTCAAACAAGAAAAGGTTAAACGCCTCCCATGCTTCGTTGAAGGCCTGAGCCGTCTTGTTCACCTTACTCGGAACATAGGAGTAGAATGGCAGCCTGGTTTCACCCACATTAAACTGATTGACGGCATCCTGAAGCAAATCACTGACCTCCATGATACGTTGGAAATATTTTTGTAGGACTTCTTCTCCGTAGACGACTTGCACAAGTACACGAAGTGTGACGTTGGCAAGACCCTCCTTTTGAAGATCCACCGGCCTACCAACTGGTAAGGAATTTAGGAATGTGGTGCACTCTCGTCCAATCGTACGCAGAGTGGCCGAAACAGCACTGGAAGAGAAGTATTTCTCGAAAGGGCCGCGGCATCGTCTCACCTCGTCACGCCCGTGGCTGGTTGCCAAGCAATTTCCTAAAATGTCTTTGAAAACGGTGCCGAGGCAGGTGAAATCTCGGTCGCGCTGGTGCGAGTAGTGGTCGGTATAGAACGAGCGAATGGCATCTGCGTCAGCTAAGATCCTGCGAGGATATTATAAGAAAATAAAAGACCATGAGTTCTTGATCGATGTATGATAAAAAATACATACATATAAAGCACTAAGTCTAGCTATTTCGGAAAAGTTATGCATCTTAGTCGTAAGAACGAATTTCCTCGACTCCAGACTCCAGACTAAAAAGTATATACGGCTAGATCGGCTCAAGAGAGCTATCAA